CGATTACTTTCCTCTCCAGCAGCCAGCGGTTGAAGGACTCCCGGGGCGGATCGATACCTGAGCAGAGAACCAACACCTGGTCAGAGCTCACATTCACACTCGGGACAGCGCCAGTCTCTGATGACCTTTGACCTTCGCCCTATCTGAGGATGTGTCCTCCCTCCACCTCTCACCTGTGGGGGCGGAGCTACCTGTACACTGCACGTGTGGCATACCTTCCCTCTGGTGGCACAGCTCGTGGTAGTGCTGCCTCAGCTTGGTGACCAGCTGCGCTCGCTGGAGCTCGATCTCGGGGTGGGGGGGCAGGTGGTGGCGGGCGGGGGCCTGCTCTCGGATCACGGCGTTGGTCTGCACGTCCAGGTCCCAGTAAATCCTGAAAACACCGACCAATCAAAAAGGTCCTTCGACAAAACAAAACAAAACAACGTGCAGTACTCACACAGCTGGTCTGTACGGCGCGGGGGCGGGGCTCGGTGTGGTGGGTGTGGCGGACTGGGCCTGTTTGTCCTCAGGGGCGGAGCTCCAGGGTTTGACCCCAGGAGTGCTGGGAGAGATGGGCGTGGTCGGCTCCACCTGGTAACAGACAGACCTGGTCAGGGTTCGCTCACCTGCACTCGGAGCATCACGCGTCAGTCTGCTCGCACTCTGCTGTGATTGGTTGTCAGGCTACTAATCGTGGCATAAGAAATGTAACAGCGGGCATGAAGGTCAGCATGTCAGCCAATCACAGCAGAGCATCTTTCTGGCTCATCCAACCTAGGACTCAGTTTTACCTTAGCACGTTTGAAGCTGTTAGGTCCTCCCCCCTGCTCCTCAGAGCTCCTCCTCTTCCTCTGACCATTACCAAGGTTACTGTCCCCGCCCTCTGCAGGAGCCGCGTTCAGACCTAAAGGATCAGACTGCAGACACAGATCGATCAATAACTGCACATCAATCAATAACTGTAAATGATCAGCACAGGCAATACTCACAATAACATCATGCTGGCCGAGCACTGGCACCTCCCACAGGCTCTGATTGGTGAATCTGTTGAAGTAATATGGCCGATTCTCCCGCCGAGACCAACACTTGGACCATCCAGCCTGAACCAACTCATCTGGGGGGGAGAGAGAGAGGGGGTAATCGGGGTGGAGTACGGTGGGTGGGACAGGTAAGAGGCAGACGAGCGTACCTGGGAGCTCAGGTGCTTTAGAGGCAGTGGACGGAGAAAGGGGTGGTCCCTGAGATGAGGCGGAGCCAGAGGGAGCCAGCATCATGGCCGCCTCCCCCTTCACCAATCCCTGGCTGTCATTGGACATCTTGGCAGTTAGAATGACATCACGTGCCTTCAAAACAAAACACAGGTGAGAATGAGTCAGACAGGTGTGCAGCTGCACTCAGAGGTTTTAAAATAATGGTATCGGTTTGAAATATAAATGTATTTTGACAGAAATGCCAGAATCTCAGCTCATTTCAACACTCGCCAAACAGCAACGATTAACGAGCAGGTAAAAATATATAAACAGAGCGAGGATGGTTCACGACACGTACACGCCGTCGGGGCTGAAAGCCGACATCTCGTCACTCTCAGACCAAAATTGACTGAACCAGCAGCAACACAAGATCCAAACTACGTTTCACGTTTGATGGTCACGAGTTTTCTCTGACTTTGGCTGTTTTGATTCCACCAGGATAAAAAAAACACTTCCTGCACAGCTCGCTCGCTCTCAGTGTGCTCTGCTTCCCTTCAGCAGCATCAGGTAATGTTCACGTGTTGATTCATCGTTTTCTTCAGTTTCTGAATATTTTTAACATTATCTGCTATAAAAAGTTATTCCAGGAAAATCTGCTGCTGGCTTTTTGTTTTATCCTCAGTTACTTTGACACAAAGTCGTCTGCTGTGATGCTCACACCTGTCTCAGTGTCAGCTTTGTTTATACACAGATGTAAAAATATGTGCTGATAAATGATCAGGATATTAGTGACTGAGTGAAAATCAGTGAGCACACCCAGCCCTGCTCAGAGGGCCATACAGATCAGACAAACTCATCTCTAGTTTGATCAGCGTTACAGGTGCTCGTTCAGGTGTGTTGGCGCGTGCGTGCATTCAGGCATCTGTGTGCGTGTGTGTTGTGGCGGTCTCGGTGCTTGCTCCGCTCCCGCGGGTTAATGTGGCGCGCTGACGTCAGACGGCAGCAAACAGCCGATCAGTGATTAAACTGATCACAATGATCGATGGGCTCAGACAGATTTTAGCGCGCTGTCGACACGTTTGATCGTGTTTTCTTACACGCAGAAATGAGCGCCATGGTTACACGCATGCGCGGTGCAGCTTTCCCAAACAAACAGGGAGGAGGGAGAGAGGGGGAGGAGGACAACAAAAGGCTGCGGCGGCTGCTCGGGAGCCCGGGACCGACACGGACACGCGGTGACGGCCGGTCCGGCTCTGCGGTGGGGTCAGGCGGGGCAGCACGCTCAGTAAAGGTCGGGTTCGGAACCTTCGCGCGGTCACATCGGCAGTTAGCCGCCATTAGGCTCAGAGACCTGCGGCTGTTCAGGCGCCACTTCACTCACAAGATGGCGGACACGCCCCTGCCACAGCGTCGCGCGCCCTCACTAACATTTCTGTTCCGTGCTCCGAGCTGGGCCGCCCCGCGCGCCGCTGTCCAGCCCCCACCGGGAGCTGACACCTTCCGCCGCGTGTCGGTGCGCCCGGAGCCGGCCCGCGGGACCGTCGGCGCTTACCTTGGCCGGTTAAGTCGCGGACAGTTGCGGGTTCTGCGCGTTGTTTCGGGTCCTCCGCTCCGCTCCCTCCCCGCCTGCTCAGACATCTTTACAGGGACCCGGACAGAGCAACTGCGCAGGCGCAGCGCCCGACCTCCTTCCTGTCCCGAGGTGTTCCACTGCGGGCGCCATGTTGAAGAGGTCAAAGACGCTGAAAGCCGAGAGATGTGACCAAAAACATCCATCAAAGAGTTTTAACACACACACACATCAATGAACGTGAGGGTGATGCCCTCAAAGGCACATTTTAGCCCTAATTTATTTAATAATGCACAGAACTCAGGTGGCGTGGCTGTTTTAAAACATATGTTTTGCTCAGCAAGTGTGATCCAGCTGGCCACTTCATTTGTCAAGCCTTTAAATCTCATGACTTAACTCTTATAATAACCAGTGGCGGAGCGGGGGAGTGGCTTACTGGGCTTAGTTAGATGCCTGGCTGACAACTGTATAAAACAAAAACTACACACAATATTCGAAGCACATAGTGCACACTGTGGGAATTTACGACTGTGCGTAAATCCCCCCTAATATTGGTATGATCCGAGCTCAGACACTGAGGGGCGGGGCAGCTGCTGCCTGCGAGTGCGCTGTTGGAGAAGCACAGACAGAGGAGAACTGAAGTTCGACCAGGTACCGAATTGCCTTTTATTTAACCCTTGAACAGACAATTTATATAACAGTTTTCCACTCAACATGTGAAAATCTGAATCATTTTGGTTCACGAGCAGTGGTCCTGCCATCCCTGTAAAATCAATATTCAATCCCAATCCTGGAAAAGGATCCCTTTCATCAGGAATCTCCAATCCACTGGAATAGTCCAACAGCATTTCCTTTTCAAATGCAGTCAACCATCCAAGCCACGAGTCCAGAATACACCTCGTGATGCGATGTCATTTCAAACCAACCAAAGATCCAGCTGCTTCTGTGTTCTGAAGGTCTGGTCCAGCCACCTCCACAATTTGTCTTAGTTTGAGAACCTTTGACTCAAGCAGCCTTTTTCGCAAAAGCAAAACCTGTTTTCAGTTCTGATCCGTCACATCCAGAATCAACCTGACTTTGGTACTTACATGTGTTCCTTGCATAAAGACTGACGGTCATCTCTAATGGTATCCAAACACGACTTCAGTCTGTCTGCTACAGATTGTAATTTCACATTATTGTTAATCAGTGCCCTCTGAACTGTGTGAAAACTTTTTTTAAAGAACAAATATCCGTCAAACATGCTGTGAAACATGTCTGAACTTTTCTGTGGTGCCTGTTTTATTTACAGCCACATTAGAGACAGGCACGTTTACATTCAGCTCTCCAAAATAAAAGCTGAAAGCTGTGTTTTATGTTGTTTTTGTGGAAAGTACAAGTTACAGTGATTTAATGATGTTTAAAATAATTGATGAATCATCTTATAAATCAGGACACACTGTTCTCTCCGACAGGCTTCCTGAAGGATTAAAAGCGTTTCTATAGGTAACACTGGTCCTGTATTTAATTGGTATCCGACCAATAACAAAATTTGCAGTATTGACACACACGTGTGGATACTTCTTTAACACGCTATGGGTAGCCCGGCCATGCCCCACAGCTTGCATATAAAACCTCTGTGCAGAAGTGAAACCAGCGATTGTTTGATGTCCACTTGGTAGTGCATGTGTGTGCTTAGTGCGCTCCAACCCTGCTTTGCTGCCAAAAGGCACAAAAGCACCTATCTGTACAGGTGCAACATGTAACGGAGTGGAGAGACTGTCACTCAGAGAACCAAGGTCACAGTGTAACCACACAGTTTGTTGGCCTTCACACCAAACTGCAGAACATGAATCTTCATATTTACAGGATCATCTTGTCTTTCCTACGGAGCTGCTTGCACAGAGAGATTATCAACAACATTCAAACTCGATAAGACTGAGTGTAAAAATGAAACAAACACGTCTCTAAGCTCCACAGCTCTACATTTACATTTCAAAGACTAATAGACATCCCATTTTATTATAAAAGCTTTATTCTGACCCATGAATGTAGAAAGTTATTAGTACTCATGTATGTCTGGGATGTTTGTGGATGAAGCATGTATCTGCTCCTCGCAGCTTTCGCTGGTTGACCGTGACCGGCTGTCAGTGAGAGCAGAAGCCTGTCTGTGTCTGTACTCGGATACAAATGGAGATAAAGCTGCTCTCTTTCTGTCATTCTCCCCTCAGGATACGTGATGATATCTGCCAAAAAATATCAAAATAAAAACACAATTCAAAGATTTCTAAACTTTATTCAACACACTGATGATCAGCTGCTGCAGGACCTTTTCCAACAAAACAACCAATCAGAGTAGGAGAGTGTGTCCCTCCAGGCAATTAATTTAGCACCAGCTCTGATTAAAGGCAGAGGAGTATGTTGATGAGAACCAGGTGCAGGTTTCCCGTTGTGAAGGTCAGAGGTCAGAGCCCTCCTGCTGCAGCAGCAGGTCCACAGCAGCCTCCACGTCCTCCACCATGTGACTCGGCTCCATCAGGTCAGGCTCCGGTACCAGGTCTCTGTGACCGTGAAACACCGTCTCCATGATGCTGCTATTCTGGTCACTAGGCAGTGGGAAACGGGGATTGTAGACACCTGTGCACACCTGAGGACAGGTGCATGGGAAGATAAGCATTTTTGCACTCTTATTATTTTGAACTCAGATGTGCTTTTATTTTGAAGGACTAAATCGCTGATGCTCAAAATCAAAATTAGGCTTGATAGCCCTGATTTACTGACTTGGTGTTGGCTCTCTGCAATACAGTATCACTTCCTGTTCCTGTTCCTGTTCACAGATGTTTTTGTTTAGCCTGTTTAGTTTTAGATAATGACTTATCTTATGGTGTGATCGTCACATGCTTTATCCAAAGAGCACTCTCTGTTGATTCACCCACTAATTACAGTCACAGTATTCACTCACTGTCTTTAGGGATTCACTAACTTAGCTTAGCTTAGCTACGCTTAGCTTGCAGCCGAGTCGCTAGCAGCAGGGCCTCTTCACCTGTTCGTCCTGCACTTTCCTGCTCCTTGTGTCAGACATTTAATCACTCCTTGGCCTCCTTTACTAATAACAATACATGTCATAAATGTAGCCTGTTTAAAGCTCTGGAGGCCAGGATTACTGAATTGGGGAGGTGGGAAGTAACCAGGTAATTATACATCGTTACTGTGCTGAAGTAGAAATTTCAAGTATATGTATCTGAGTATTTAATTTTTGCGTTTTTTGGAAGCATAGTCCTAAACAGAAGCCCCAGGTACACCACCAACCCGTTCATGTGACTAACCGTTTTTCCCCACTCGGCGACACACCTGCTGGGGGTCAAACTCTGGTAATTGGTGATTCTGTTCTCAGACATGTGAAGCTAGAGACACCGGCAACCATAGTCAATTGTCTTCCAGGGGCCAGAGCAGGCGACATTGAAGGAAATTTAAAACTGCTGGCTAAGGGTAAACGTAAATTCAATAAAATCATAATTCACGTCGGCAGTAATGACACCCGGTACGCCAATCGGAGGTCACTAAAATCAATATTGAATCTGTGTGTAACTTTAGGCTTTTAATTCATTTGAAAGCCCGATGCTTAGCCTCGTCCACCGCAGCTGTAAAACTCAGAAACCAGTCTTATTGGTTATCATCTACCGTCCACCTGGACCTTACACAGAGTTTGTCTGATTTCTCAGACTTTTTATTTGATTTAGTGCTCAGCTCAGATAAAATAATTACTGTGGCTGTTTTTAACATCCAGGTAGATGCTAGAATCACAGCCTTTGCACTCCAACCTCATTATTTAAATTCATTTTTTAATGACCATCCACCATTCAAAAAAAGAAAGAGGTAAACCTCAAAGGTGATGTACGTACCAGGATAGAGTGGCACTGAATTGCAGACATCGGCTCCTCCTCTGCCATCACCTCACTTCCCATTCCCCGGGCAACCAGCCTGGTGGTGGTTGTCACAGCAGCATGCCGCTGAGCCAGGTAACGGTTGTACAAGTTAGCACCATAGATGTCCGTCATTAGGTTGTCACTAGGAAACAAGAAGACAGTTGGATTAGCCAATAAAGTAGATACTGGTTCCCAAAGTGTGACGCTGGGTCACACCATCAAGTGATTGCTGGTGGGCTGCAAGATGCAGCGTAAAATACCATCAAAATCTATAATTAATTAAACTCAAACGCATTCAAAACTTTGTTGTGGAAAATCTTAAATTGCACCACCATGTGAGTGATAACATTCTACATGCATGCATACAACTGGTGTCAGGAAAGAGCTTGCTATACTAAAGTGAGAAAGTGACGTTACTATTACTAATATGACATGATTAAAATATGTGATTGACACAGCAAACAACATTTCCAGTACAACTACAAACAAAGCCATGATTAAATTATACTTTATTTTTTATTTATCTGACCAATTCCCAATTAGGAACTGCTTTATTTCTCAGTTGGAAAAGTGAAACTGCCACAATAACAGGACAATCAAATAGAGAAGGAGCCATCAGCAGATGTTGTTATAGATGATCTTTTACTGATGATGTTACAGATGGTGTTGTTATAGATGGAGTTACAGATGTGTGGCTAGAGACGGTGTTGTTATAGATGATGTTGTTACAGATGGAGTTGTTACAGATGTCATTATAGATGTTGTTAAAGATGGTGTTTTTACCAATGCTGTTACAGTTGGAGTCGTTACAGATGTTGTTGTTACAGATGGAGTTGTTATAGATGTCATTATAGATGTTGTTACAGATGGAGTTGTTATAGATGTCATTATAGATGGAGTTGTTATAGATGGTGTCGTTACAGATGGAGTTGTTATAGATGTCATTATAGATGTTGTTACAGTTGGAGTCGTTACAGATGTTGTTGTTACAGATGGAGTTGTTATAGATGTCATTATAGATGGAGTTGTTACAGATGGTGTCGTTACAGATGGAGTTGTTATAGATGGAGTTGTTATAGATGTCATTATAGATGTTGTTACAGATGGAGTTGTTATAGATGTCATTATAGATGTTGTTACAGATGGTGTTGATATAGATGTTGTTACAGATGGAGTTGTTACATATGGTGATGTTACAGATGGAGTTGTTATAGATGTCATTATAGATGGAGTTGTTACAGATGGTGTCATTATCAATGTTGTTGTTACAGATGGAGTTGTTACATATGGTGATGTTACAGATGGAGTTGTTATAGATGTCATTATAGATGGAGTTGTTACAGATGGTGTCGTTACAGATGGTGTCATTATCGATGTTGTTGTTACAGATGGAGTTGTTACAAATGTCATTATAGATGTTGTCACAGGTGGTGTTGATATAGATGTCATTACAGATGGAGTTGTTACAGATGTCATTAAAAATGTTGTTACAGATGGTGTTTTTACCAATGTTTAGGGATGGGTATTGATAAGATTTTCACGATTCCGATT